CTTCTTTATTAATAATAACCATAATAGTAATCAATGTTATGAGTACTCCAAATAGATACAAGACCAAATTCCTAATTTAGTGAAAACCAATCGCAGGACTCCAATGTATCATTTATTGACTCCAACCTAAAAATAAGCAACACTTCTTACCATTACGGTAAACAGGGCGAACCAAAACAAATAAGAAGTACGGGTTAGCAAAACATGCTTTAAAATCAATTTCCAATAAATAATCCAAAAATTCCAAACTCATGGTTTAAAACCAATTCTCAATAATTCGAATATCAATAATCAATAAAACCAAATCCAATTATTTTAAAACCAATTCCTCATATTAAAACCAATTCCTCTCCCAAGTGTGCACACCCCCCAAGCTAGTCTCCTTATGTTACAAGGCTATTCTTGAGGAAAGACCCGGTCATGCAAAGTCCAAGGCCTTATCAATAAACCAAATCCGCATAGTGGGATTACCAACATGCTTATAAAACATAAATAATAATAAATCCATGATTCAATAAATCATCTTTTAAATCCAATAATTCAACCTCTAATAATAATAATTCAAACTTCTTTTAATAAATTCAACATGATTTTAAAATCAATCCTTTAAACATACTTTTAATTCATAAACCATAATTCAATTTAATTTAATTCAATTCATCATAAAATCATTCAAACATGTTATTCAAATCGATCACTTTCAAGGTATCTAGCCACCTAACGTACCTTGATCTTCACTTAGCCAACAACACTTCAAAAGAACTCTCAAGTAGATTGATCAAAAACACCCTACAAATAAATATAACCTTAATCAATATAAGGTTAACAAATAATCACAAATAATTAAATTAAACCCTCCCAACTAAATGTACATGAACCTCTTAAATTAATTCAACATGAACATTATTAAAATCTGATTTTATATAATTAAAACTACTCATAATAATTTTATATTAATCTCCCATAATAATAATAATTGAATAAAAGAAAAGGAGAAGAAAAGAATTGGATTTGCGTAGGAAATAAAAGGCAGAACTTTCAGAGGCTATACCTCCTTTGATATAGCTCCGAATTGGGTGATTATTGAGCCTAACCTCAAGGATGTTTTGAGAGGAACAACTTTCTGTGAAACGTCACTACCCCAAAAACTGACCAGAAGTGCCCGAAAATTGGCTTCAAAGATGAACAGGATGATTTGTGTAAAATTGAGGAGAAGAAAAAGAAGAGAATTGGTGTGAAGAATGTGAGAGGTATGGAGGGGTATTTATAGGCTAGTATGAGCATGAATTATAGTAGGAAAATGTAGGAATAATTATGGTAATTAGGGTTTAAGAGATTACTTGGAGAAGTGAGCAAAGATTTAAGGAAAGTTTTGATATTTGAAGGGATTGTGTATAATTGAATATGGAAGGTATGTATGTCACGAAAAATGTTAAGGAAATTGGAATTGCTTGGGGAATAATTAATAAGAATGAATGGCAAGAAAATATAATAATTGGATATCAAAAAGATGGAGAATTAGAATTATGGAAAATAGGAGATTTAAGGGAGATAATTAAAAACACAAATTACCAAAATATTTTCCCAAAATCTTTATGGGATGGCCGAAATTATTGAGCTTTCCTAAGCTCATATTTTCGGCCTTCCTATTTAGTATTTAGGAATACATTTTGCTTGTTTAAAGGAATTAAAAATAATTGTGTAAATAATATTTATTGTAATAAATAATTAAATAATAAAATAATAAATATTCACCAAATAATTTAACTAATAAAAATCAGATTTTATACATCAGAAAATCAGAAATTATTATCTAAATAAATGGGATTTTCGGACTTATTAAAATAATAATAAAATATAGCTTTTGCCTTAATTAAAATATCCGAAATATATAAATAATCCGGTTTTTAAAATAGGATAAATGGATAATAAATCTTATCCAAAATAATGATTAGTTTTCGAAATACTTTTGGCGCAAAAATTCAAATATCATTTTGTCTCCAAGATTTAAATAGTAAATTGAATTACTAAAATACCCTTTTTAGAAAATAATAATTAATTAGGAAAATACGTATGAAAATACGGGGTATTACAGTCTACACCCCTTAAAATAAGTTTCGAACCGAAACTTAGCCAAAAGAAACGAAAATTATTTTGAAATTATTGGTTCATGCACATCCTAACTTGACTCAATACTCCAACTAAACTTAAATAAGACTCGAAATCACTCAAAAATGACTCGAAAAGTAAACGCGCGAAACTCTATCGCCCTCTACCCCCCTTAAAAGGAGTTACGCCACCTTAACTCGACCACTAACCTTAGGCAAACAGTTCTGGATAACGTTTCCTCATATCAGCCTCAGCTTCCCATGTGGCCTCTTCAGTTTTCAGATTTGACCACAATACTTTCACAATGCTCACATCCTTGTTCCTTGTGCTCCTGACCTTAGAGTCAAGAATCTTTAATGGTTTTCCTCATAAGTCAAATTCTCATCCATCTCAATGGTTTATGGTTGTAACACATGTGTCACATCAGGAATATACTTTCAGATTTGGCTCACATGGAACACATTGTGAACCCTTTCAAGCTCGTTAGGCAAATCCAACTTATAAGCCACTTTTCCCACTTTCTGAATGATTTCATAAGGCCCTATGTACTTTGGGCTTAATTTTCCTTTCTTCCCGAACCTTATCACACCTTTCATGGGTGAAATCTTTAACAAAACCTTCTCTCCTACTTCATATTCCTCTTCCCTCATTTTCAAATCAGCATAACTTTTCTGTCGATCTTGGGCTGCTTTAGTCTTTTCTTGGATAAACTTGACCTGCTTCACCATATCCTCAATCATTTCTGGTCCAAGTACCATAGTTTCACTTATATCATTCCAACATACTGGGCTTCTACACTTTCGACAATACAAAGCTTCAAACGGTGCCATCCCAATTCTTGCATGGTAACTATTGTTATAAGAGAACTCTATCAAATCCAAGTGGTCTTCCCAAGACCCTTGATACTCCATCACACAAGCTCTTAACATGTCCTCTAATGTCTGAATCGTTCTTTCTGTCTGACCATCTGTCGCAGGAAGCAATGTTGTGATCATTAACAACTTAGTTCCCATCGCCTTTTGCAAACTTTGCCAAAAGTTAGACAAAAACCTTGAATCTCTATCCGAAATGATATCCTTGGGTACCTCCTGGTACTTCACCACAAACTTCACATAAGATCTTCCTAACCGATCCATGGTCCAAGTACTTCTCATGGGTATGAACGCTGCTGACTTCGTCAACCTCTCCACTATCACCCAAATAGTGTCATTTCCTGCCTTGGTCTTTGGCAAAACGCCCACAAAATCCATAGAAATCGAATCCCATTTCCACTTGGGCACCTCCAAGGATTGGACCTTTCCTTGAGGCCTACGATACTCAATCTTCACCTTCTGACATGTCAAACACTTAGCAACAAATTCAGCCACTTCTTTCTTCATATTGGGCCACCAAAAAGTCTTCTTCATGTCCTTATACAACTAATCCCCTCTAGGTGCATTGAATAAGGAGAATTATGGGGTTCTTCCATCAATCTTTGCTTCAAATCACTACGATTCTGCGGCACACACCATCTTCCCTTAAAACGAATGCTTCCCTCATCACCAATGGTGAAATCCAACACTTTCCCTTCATCAATCTTCTTCTTAATTGCTTTTAACTTCTCATCTTCCAATTGACTATCCCTTATCTCATCATAAATGGATGGTTGAACCACCAAGGCATTCAACATCCTAGCCACTTCACCATGTTCCATCACCTCCAAGTTCAACTTCTGAAATTCCACACACAACTGATTTGGGACTACCATCACATTCACCGTATGTCCTGACTTTCTGCTCAAAGCATCTTCCACCACATTAGCCTTTCCCTCATGATACTGAATATCCAATGTATAATCACTCATATACTCCAACCATTGTCTCTGTCTCCCATTCAAGTGCGTCTGGGTGAAAATGTACTTCAAACTCTTATGATCCGTGAAAATCCTACAAGTCACCCCATACAAGTAATGTCTCCAAATCTTCAAGGCAAACACAATTGCAGCTAACTCCAAATCATGGGTTGGGTAATTCCCTTCGTGAACCTTCAACTGTCTCGAGGCATACGCAATTACCTTCGATTCTGCATCAACACACATCCCAATCCCAACCTCGATGCATCACTATACACGTCATATAGATCACTCCCATCCGGCAAAGCCAGCACAGGTGCTGTGGTTAACCTTTCTTTCAAGATATTAAATGCCTCCTCACACTCTTAGGTCCATGAGAATTTATGCTCCTTTTTCATCAAACTTGTCATGGGCTTCGCGATCCTTGAAAAATCCTTCACAAACCTTCTGTAATAGCCTGCTAAACCTAAGAAACTCCTTACATCCGACACTTTCTTTGGGGTTGGCCAATCACTCATAGCTCGAATCTTGCTTGGGTCCACCAAAACTCCGTCCTTGGAAATCACATGGCCCAAAAATGCTACTTTCTCCAACCAAAACTCACACTTAGACAACTTGGCATACAACTGATGCTCTCTTAAACATGACAACACTTGTCTCAAATGCTTCTTATGCTCTTCTTAATCCTTTGAATATATCAAAATATCATCAATAAACACCACTATAAACTTATCCAAGTATGGCCTGAAAATACTATGCATCAAGTCCATGAACACTACAGGTGCATTGGTCAAACCAAATGGCATAACTGTGAACTCATAATGACCATAACGGTTCCTGAAAGCACTCTTTGCAATATCTTGCTCCGCAATTCTCAACTGGTGATAACCCGATCTCAAATCTATTTTTGAGAATACCCCTTCTCCTTTCAACTAGTCAAACAAATCATCGATCTTGGTAATGGATACTTATTCTTCACCGTCACCTTGTTCAGCTCTCGATAATCAATACACAACCTCATACTCCCATCCTTCTTCTTTACAAAAAATATTGGGGCTCCCTAGGGTGATGAATTAGGCCTAATATAACCTTTCTCCAACAAATCATCCAACTGGGTCTTCAACTCCCTCAACTCAGCTGGAGCCATCCTATATGGAGCCTTAGATTTAGGTCCAATTCTAGGCACTAGATCGATAGTGAACTCAACATCCCTCACTGGTGGCTTACCAGGAATCTCATCCGGAAACACATCTAGAAACTCTTCTACAACAGGAATATCCTCTTCACCTTTCTTTTCCTCACTTTCAACCTCTTGAACACTACACAAAAACAAAGGACAACCCTTCTTAACCAGTTTCTGTAGTTGTATTGCAGACACAATTCTCAACCCTGAACTTTTCCCTTCCTTTTTATACACCACTTTGGTCTTACTTGGGCTAGTCAAGGTGACCTTTTCAGCCGCACAGTCAATTTTTGTTTCATACTTTCCCAACCAATCCATACCCAGAATCACATCAAAGTCATTCAAGTCAAACTCGATCAAATCAGCCAGAAACTCTACCCTAGAGATGGAAATAGGCACACTCAAAAACAATCTCGAATAACTCCTCACTTCCCCTGATGGAATAGACACATCTAGAGAAACTGACTCAGGACTCTATAACCAGAGACTCCCAACTACTTCCTTAGAAATAAAAGAATGCGACGCCCCTGAATCAAACAAGACTTTCACAGGAAAAGAACTTATAAAGAAAACACCAATTACCACATCATTAGTAGACTCAGCCTGCCGACTATTCAACATGAACACACGCCTCTTTGGGGCACCTCCCGCACCACTACTGGTTTCAGCCTTGGTTGTAGTTCTACTAGACTGAGGTGGTTTACTAGGTGCACTAAACTCTTTCACCTTCCCAGACTTAACACCAGCTTCCTTCTTAAAACACTCATACTCACGGTGTCCTAACTTCTAACAGTAACGACAAGTTACCGGGTTTCCCTCACAGTCCTTCCCTGGGTGGTCTTTATCACACCTCTTGCAGAAATACTTCCTCTTGGGCTTCTCACCCATTTGGTTCCCATTCCTTTTATGGTTGGATGACTGTCCCCCATTCCCCTTCCTAAAGTTCCCCTTGTTGTCCCTCCTATCTCCAGAATTCCCTTGGTAATTTCCATTAGGCTTGTGCCTCTTTTCACCCCCGTGAAAAGAGTTTGGGTTCTTCCTTTTCTCTCCCACCTACTCCATCTCCCTCCCCTTAATTCCGTACAGATGGACTGCACGACCATAGACTTCATCTAGGGTCTCAAAAGTCATTCCCCCTAGCTTCCCTTGGAGGATCAAGGTTAGGCCTTGCTCAAATCTTTGAGCCTTAATGGTTTCAGTAGGGATTACTTCCGGGGCAAACCTCATCAACTCAATGAACTTGTTGTAGTATTCACTGATTGACATGTTTCCCATTATTAGGTTGGTAAACTCCATACACTTCTGCTTTCTAAGGTAGGAAGGGTAAAACTTTTCTCTCAAGGCTTCCTAGAACTCATCCCACCCAAAGTTTGGTCTTTTCAGCAACTCATCCTTTCTTTGGGCCCGCCATAAGTCAACTTCCTCCCTCAAGTAGTAAACTCCATTGTTCACCCTCAGCTTGCTTGGGCAATTGATAGCATCAAATAGCTTGTCAAACTCCCTAATCTAGTTTTCAAGGTTGGCTGGGTCCTCTTTTCCCAAGTAAATAGGTGGTTTAGCTGCAGCTACCCTCTTAAAGACTTCACTATAGGCATCAATCTCAGGATTTCGGTGTTCCCTGTTCACCACCTTCGTGATGTTCTCAGTAATTTGGGTCAACTACTTAAGGACCTTTCCAACTTTGGAACCAGTGCGCTTACTCCTTAAATGTTCCCTCACTCTTGGAGACATAATTCCTGGGTATGATTATTACACTTAGAAATCAAAACAAGTTCTACTCATATAAGCATTTAATTCACTTAATAACATAGAGAAATTTCAAATAATTCATTTTATTTCATTAATAATTAATGAAAATACAACTTTTTCTCTTAGGACAATTATTGAAACATGAAACAAAAACATAGTTCAAAAACAATCAAATACCACTATGGGCATAACCATCTTCAATAGGATCATAATCCGGATAATCACTTCTATTGCTTGGTTCGGCCATGAGAGTTGGGTTATAACCACTATAGCTTAGAATAAGGCCTGATGAGTTTGACCCAGATTTACTTATATTTCTGTCTAGGGCAGGAGTGTAACTTGGGATTTTTGTTAGGCTTACATCCCCACAAGGTTGGCTTGAAGAAGCTTTGGGGTTTTGGGCTCTTTCTTTTGCAGTTTGAGAACGAGTTCTGGGCCTTTTTGCAACATGGAAATGGGCTTTTGGGCTAGGTTGTTTTGAAGATTCAGAGCTCAAAGATTGGCTAAGAGAACGGTAATGCTTGCTCCTACCAAGAGTGGTACGGACTCATCACTAGATTCCATATACTCATGTCACTTCTTTGGGTATGAAAAAGGTACTTGGGCATTTATGAAGTACATTTGGTCATTAGGTCCAAAGGTTCGATCTTTTGGGATCGTGGGAATTTTCACAACTTTCCTCTTAGGTTCATACTTGCGCTCCACATAGTGCAAGTCCCTCTTAAGGCTAGACATAGTTGCTAACCACTTCCCTTCATGATGGTGCTTCTCATTCCACATTCCGTCTTCCTTAATCACATCCCCATATTTGTCAAAAAGAGGTTGGTATTTCTCAATTCTAGGCAAATGGGCCAAGGCTAGAAGAACCATCCAAGGTTGTTGGGTCAAGGCTTCCTCACCATTCTTTTCATTAAGGATCAAGGCCAAAGTACAAATTCCAGTTATGAAATCACTAACTGTGACTCCACTATCTTTCAAGTAATGAATGTCATAATATTGGTGTCTCATTGCATCAATCATTTTCATCTGTTTCACACATACATGCAAAACAATTAATTAAGTGTCAAATCACACAAACAATCCAATTCAAAATCCATTTGCAATAAGTAATTCATAACTCAACCAAACATAACTCAAGATTACCCAACCATGGGTAATAATTCAAAAATTCGGACCTCTAGACCACACTCTAAGGTGTTTTAACACTGACGAGGGGAAAACTAGGTCGTTATCTAATCTTCCCTCGGTCAAACTAAATTTAAAAACACTTAACAAACCTAAATACGAGTATAGAGGAAAGTCAAGGGTCGAACCCAAAGGAACGGTAATGTTCAAGCACTTTCAATTATGCACCTAAGCTAGGTCGAAGACGAAGGTAAGAGAGAATACTAACAACTAACAAAACAAGTAACCAAGGAAAAAAAACACTAGGAACGGGGATCAACAAGTAATCATGTCAATTGCAACAACTTGGGAAGAGCATGCCAATCAAAGGTTGTGAGGACTAAATGATAAGAGTAATCAATAGGAATCAAAGAGCTATCTCCTAATTGTTAAGCTAGGGTTCACTATGAATAACAAACTAAGAGAATCACAATCAAAACCAATTGATAAATGCAATTCCTAAATCAATTGTTCATGTCATTAGCAATTACAATGCAATCTAGCATAATTCTCAAGGCCAAATTGAATTACACACATGCAAACCTTCACTAATCACTTTAATCTCAACAATCAATCAACACAATTCCAAAATTAATCACAATTAATCAATCATACAAGTTTCACCCAATTCATAGCCAAACAACTATTCAAGAATCATCATCTATCAACTAACAACTATAGAAATCAAGAATCAACAAAATACCAAGAACAATTACACTAATCAAGCATCAAACATCAAAATTAAACCAAACAAACATCAAATTAATCAAAGCAATTGAATGAGATAGAGTTTAGAAATGCTCGTTTATAATTTAGAAGATCTCCAACACAATTGTCACACTTGCATCTTCAATCTCTCAATCACCATTGAAATTCCACACTTTCTCTCTCTAAAACTACTCCTAATCTAGCCTAATCTAGATAGAGAAGCTCTCAACCTAAGAGAGAGAAAACTATTCTAAAACTAAAGAATTACATGAATAAAGAATAAAGGAAACCAAAAACTATATAAACAAAAGGAGAAAAGAAGCTTAAAATCGTAAAAGACCCAGAAACCCGCGCACGCGGAGAAATCGGCCGCGCCCGCGGAGGGGAACGGATACCCCGATAGCTGCGCCCGCGGCCCAAGCCCGCGCCCTCGGGGAGCCCTTGGTACAACGGCGGGTGCTTACTTCCCAAATACGGCAGTTTTGGAGCTGCAGCAACCCCGCGCCCGCGGGTACTATGGCCTGCGCCCGCGGCAGTTTTCCAAGGCCAACTTCAGAAGGCTGTAACATCCGATCTAAGAATCGTATGAAGGCGTGCGACCTATCATTGGAAAGATCTTCAAGTCTAGTTTCCAACCCAACTTGAATTACCCTAATCCAATCTGTAAAACTTGAGATATGACAAACAATGCACAAAGGTTCTATTTGATACTTTGCAATCCTTTGTTTTCCTTTGTTTCAAACTCAAATTCAATTCCGAAAATGTGCATGTTGATCCTAGTGGGTGCTATCTTCAATTCCCATGCATATAGCCCGCGACGTACCTATAAAACAAGACAAAGAAACGGAGAAGCAAGAGAAATAGCCGAGAAATGAATAAAATAATAAGAAAGCCATTAAAAGCATGCATTTCTCTAAACTAACACAAAAACACGCGAATCGAGCATTATTCTCTAAAAACACGACATAAACGACTACAAAGGAGTATAGAAATATAAAGAAAACATAGCCTAAAAATGCCATAAATGGCACGGATCAAATTCCCCCAAGCTAAACTTTTTCTCGTCCTCGAGCAAAACAAAATCCAACCCAAGGGAAAAATGATGACATTATTCAAGCAAAGAAAGAAAAGAGAAAACTAGAGAAGATGGGAATATACACTAACTCACTTTCGTAGGAATCACGGTCAATTTTAGCAACTAAAGACAAGCCATTTAAACCCCTGTATCGCCCTAGAGGACGAGTTATGCTCTCGTAAGGGTATCCTAAGAGTTTACCCATAACTCTCATAATAAGACAAACAAGGCTAAGCATGAAAAAGAAAACAAAATACAAGAGAAGCAAACAAATGTTCATGAAAGGACTTTTGCAAATGTACAAGAACAATGAATGCAAATCTTTCTAAACAAGTAAGGGAGTGCAGGCTATAAGATACCTAAGGTTGATTGAAACATAAAAATGCTAAGCATAGGAACTAGTTATCACACTCCACTTTCATACCAAACGGTCTTACCGCGTTCCCCCTACTAATCTCATATCTCCCCATAGTGAGCATCTCATAGATTCCGCGATGGAACCGGAAAAAGATCAAATTTTTGGGCTACTTGACATCTTGACTTCGCATCCCCTTTCCTTAGGCAATGACCCATGATTCCCTCCCCCGAATAGTGACTCAACTTTCTAGGTCGAAAGGTCTTTCCCCAAGGTTGTAACGTAAGGCATAAAGGGTGAAGGTAGGCTAAAATTTAAAATTTGGACATTTTGACGAGGGGAAAACTAGGTCGTTATCTAATCTTCCCTCGGTCAAACTAAATTTATAAACACTTAACAAACCTAAATACGAGTATAGAGGAAAATCAAGGGTCGAACCTAAAGGAACGGTAATGTTCAAGCACTTTCAATTATGCACCTAAGCAAGGTCGAAGACGAAGGTAAGAGAGAATACTAATAACTAACAAAACAAGTAACCAAGGAAATAAAACACTAAGAACGGGGATCAACAAGTAATCATGTCAATTGCAAAAACTTGGGAAGAGCATGCCAATCAAAGGTTGTGAGGACTAAATGATAAGAGCAATCAACAGGAATCAAAGAGCTATCTCCTAATTGTTAAGCTAGGGTTCACTATGAATAACAAACTAAGAGTATCACAATCAAAACCAATTGATAATTGCAATTCCTAAATCAATTGTTCATGTCATTAGCAATTACAATGCAATCTAGCATAATTCTCAAGGCCAAATTGAATTACACACATGCAAACCTTCACTAATCACTTTAATCTCAACAATCAATCAACACAATTCCAAAATTAATCACAATTAATCAATCATACAAGTTTCACCCAATTCATAGCCAAACAACTATTCAAGAATCATCATCTATCAACTAACAACTATAGAAATCAAGAATCAACAAAATACCAAGAACAATTACACTAATCAAGCATCAAACATCAAAATTAAACCAAACAACCATCAAATTAAACAAAGCAATTTAATGAGATAGAGTTTAGAAATGCTCATTGATAATTAAGAAGATCTCCAACACAATTGTCACACTTGCAACTTCAATCTCTCAATCACCATTGAAATTCCTCACTTTCTCTCTCTAAAACTACTCCTAATCTAGCCTAATCTAGAAAGATAAGCTCTC